CAGTTATAAAAAAGATTCTCAATCGAAAAACTCCCCAAAAATATAGCAATCTTCAGAGAAATTATATAATACATCTGAATACATAGATTATATTAATTAAAAAATATATATGAATATATTCATGGAATATAGCGAGACAGTGAATACTATGAAATACATAAAATACAACAGGATACATTGAAATGCAATGAAAAAAAATAATGAATACAATGAAATACATAGAATACATCGAGATACATTGAAATACAATGAAATATATTAGCAAAAAATTCAAGTTGTTCGGCCCCAAACTCCGTCGTCTTTGCTCAAGAACAACCCTAATGTCATCTCGCCGTCACTGTTGCCTCTGGTTGTCGTTGTTACGGAGAATATTTCTATATCGAAAATTTCTAAACGGAAATCCCTAAAGGCGACTAAATCACGACAAATACAACAGAAATTGGATGCTGCCACTCACTCCTTTTCGAAAATCCCTCAATTCAACCAGGGCCCAAGCACAAGAGTCTGTTCAATTACATAATCAAAAGCACAAAGTTGAGTAAATCAATCAAACCCTCTTTTTTTAGTGTTTTCTGGGATGAGGAAAGAGGATGGAGTGTATCAAATTAGAGAGAGAATGTGGAGTGAGAAGTTTACATCAAATACGGTAATTATGTGAGAGAAAAATCTGAAAAAGGAGAGAGAAAAATAAAAAATAGTGTATATAGTGGCTTAAGGGGAGGAGGTAACCAAAAATAGATATTTTGCTATAAATATTAAAAGGTATCTATAGAATATAATATTTTAAAATGATATTTATTTAAAATAAATAAGGTATTAATCTTTGTTATATGAGGTAAAAATTCCTAAATTGAATGGACGTAGATGATGTTATCACGATCCCTCTTTTTCTACCATTAGACATGCCAAATGCCACTTTGCCGAGTGACATTACCTGTGGATCAACATATAAAAGAAAATATTACGTTCAGAAATCAAACTTGGAGTTGGAGGCAGTGAAATAGCATCTCCGTTCTCGTGGTAAAGAACAAAACTAAAGTCATTAAAATATTAAGAAACAAAACTAAAGAAAATGATTAGTTTAATATATTGGTACACAAAACTTCATTTTTCTATTTTGGTGACAAGATACGAAGGAATATGTCTTACTAAGACAAGAAGGCAGCTTCTCTTTGTGAAATCCGAGTGGCAGTGGCTCCTAAGTTGAGCAAAAGACAAATATACAAAAGAATGGTATTCACCACTTTGTATTTGGTGTCAGATCAGAGAACTCCAAAAAGGATAATCTTTTCTTTTCTTGAATATCATTGTGTAAGCACTTACTAAAAAAATTAATTAAAACAAATTCTTCTTGACAACCCCATTAAGCTAAGAATAAGATTGGTACTGCTATACAAATAGCCAGCTAGATTCAATATTTATTTTTTTTAATCGGTATACATAGATTATACATTAATTATATATGAATTACATATTATACATTTGACAACTATTTTGTGTTTAATAGATTAAGTGGGCAACTATTCGGGTTAGTTCTTCAATAAGATTCTCTAATTAAAGAATGCCAAAAAGGTCTAGTCATCTCCAATTGTGTCACTTGAAACTAGGGCTTCGGATCAGATCGGATCGGATCGGATTTAGTACATTATTTCGGATTCGAAGTTCGGATTTCGGATTCAACAAAATGCAATCTGAATCCGATCCCGAATTAATATCAGTTCGGATCGAATTTTAAAATTTGGATTGGATCAATATTTCGAATTTCGAATCGAATTATACGTATTATTAAGGCTATTGCTAATCTAATCGGCTAATGCATCTGCCTTATCTGCTTCTTTTGTGTTCTGTGCTAATACAAATATCTCTTTGCATTTCATCCCTTTTATCAACATTGTATCTCTAAGAAAATATTTCTCTGGAGGTTTGAGTTGTTGTGCTTCAAGTTGCAAACTCATACGTATATTTTCTTTGTAAAAAAGGTAATACAGCAAGAAAAATTTATGTTATGCAATTATGAGGGTACTATGGTACCAATATAGCTAAATCCAGCAATTGTAAAGGTAATAACTTAGAGGAAGATGTAAAAGAGGTACTAACTATCCGAAATTAAAGTTTAGTATTTATACATGACTTAATAATTTCGAGTTTTGGGTCGGATCGGGTTAAAATTATACCAATTTGAATCCGAACCGAATATCCGAAATTTTAATAAACATAATCCAAAATCCGATCCAAATATCCAAAATCCAAAATCCAAAATCGGAAATTGAGCGAATTGGTTTGGATTTCGGATATCCGATCCAAATGAATAGCCCTCCTTGAAACTCCAAACACCTGCTCAAGATGAGAGAATCAAAATAATAGTTGAAGATTTGGGTCGTTTGGTAAGAGGTATAACAATAGTGCTGAATAAAGTGTATTAGTAATGCTGGTATTAGTAATGCTGACATTAGTTATGTTAACATTAGTTATACTGAGATTATTTTTTATCCACTGTTTGGTTTGGTGTATTAAAACATTGCATAATTTTTTAAAAATTGGGTGTTTACAAAAGTACCCTCCATAATTTTTAACTTTAGCTATAAAAATTAATTTTATAGATAAAAATTAACTGTGCTTTTCCATGGCCAAAGCATACAGAGGAAATCTGTTTGCTAATAATATGGGGAAAGACTTTTATTAGGGATTTGAGGGGGCAATTAGGTCTTTCCTCATGTTTATGCAAGCATTAAAAACCCTTGCATTACTAATGTCATGGTTTCTTATGCATTGCTTATACATAGCATAATACTAAGTATACAAAGGTTGAAAAAATATACCAAATAAGGTATTAGTAATGCACAGAGCTAATGTTTGCATTATTTTTTCTAATACCTCCTGCCAAACGACTTAGAGTGCAGTTCTAAGGCATATGAAAGACAATAATTTATAGCTGGAAAAGAGATGCATTGAATTGGATTTGAAGTACATAAAATAATTAAACTATTGGAAAAAGAGATTATATATCACGGCTCTATTGTTAGATCGATACTGAATCATCAGTTTTAAATCAGATGTTTCATTAACTTCCAAATAAAACGATTTGGTTCTCCCACTCAATCAAATAAAGTGGAGTAGAATTACCTAGATACCAGCTTTAATGAATTAAAAAAAGTTTACCATTTTTTATAGTATCGTATCAGCATGTCTTTGTCTGTACCTCTTAAGACTAAAAATGAAAGGAAAAATATTTATCCATCAAGCGTTTATAACAAACTAATAAATGTATGATAATTATTTTTCTTAATTCAGTAGGTACCTTCTAATACTAATTTTTTTGATCTAATGTAAACATTACGCGTGGAGTTTGGATAATATAGCATCCAGGGAGATTGTAGATCAGTGGGGGTTGAAGCCTTTTTAAGTAAGGACCTTATCCAGAGCCCTACTAAATCAAATCAAAAAGGGCATGAGCGGCAACCCTTTTAGTTAAGTGAGGGGGGAGAAGGTAATCCTTCTTCTAAGATGGAACTAATGGCGTCAAATGGGTAGGTTAAGCTTATTTTGGGCAAGTTAAAATAGGTTGAGTCAATAAATAAATGGGTCCATAATTCTTCGGGAGAAATTCAAAAATAGCCAGATTTATAAGTGGTCGTTCAAAAATAGCAACAATTTCAAAAGTAATCGAAATTTAGCCACTTTTCATGTAAAGATAAATCTGAATGAAAATACTGTTCAAAATCCGGAAAAATACTCCACTTGTAATCGCAAAAAGGTTGCAGGCAAGCTATGAAAATTTCAGTAAACATTCACGGAAGACTAAGTATAGAATTTGGCGAGAACTTGAAAGAACACGGCAATCAAGATTTGAAATACAAAAAATTCCAAAACTTTAAAATTTAAGTGCATGTTCGGTTGTCAAACGAAACATGTTTCTTCTTTGTTTTCAAATATATGGTGAATGTATATTTGAAAAGTTTTCAAATATTATGCTACTATACTGGAGTTCCAGTATAATATACTGGTCCAGCAAATATACTGGAGTTTGGAGCACCGGTGCTCTAGCCTCCAGTATATTATACTGGAGCCAGCAAAGTATACCTGTCCAGCATAATATGCTGGAAGTTCATACACAGGTGCATCGAACTCCAGTATATTATGCTGCCGGTCTCTGTTACAACAAAATAGTGACTATTTTTCAATGACTTGACAAACGCTGACTATTTTTGAATGACCAGTTCGAAAACTGGCTAGACCATGCTATTTTAACTAATTCTCCTAACAGTAACTTGGGCTGAGATGGACTAGGTCATGTTGGACTAAAATTTGGGTCATAGGCCAACTCTTACTAAGCTTTAATTAATGTGTGTTATTTTCTTATGAACTATTTAATTATCAAATAATTTTTTTTTCTTTTGTTACGATCATATATATATATATCAAAAGAAAAATAATTATTTTAAAAATATTTTAGCAAAGTTATTCACAGATCAATTTGGACTAAAAATCAACCCAACTTCAATGAACTGAAATGGGTTGGGCCAAGATGGACTGAGTTCAATAAATAAGCGAATCAATGACCAGCACAATCTTAGATGGGTCAAATGGGTCCGGGCTCAAATTGTCATCCCTAATCGAAACTAAGAAAGTGTAACATGCCATTATGGACGTATTACATATCCTACTAAAGAGATCTTGATAATACGAGTAAGGTTCTATCGAGAGAACACTGCCACACCAAAGTGTGGCATGTATTTCCATATATAAAAGTCTGCCAATGAGAAGGGAGAGTAGTACTGCTCAATACTCATTATCAAAATATCTTTAAAAAATAAGCGAAAAAACAAAAGTTTGAAAACGAAAGGAAAGCATTGGAGAGAAGAGATGGTCCAAAAAGCCAATACCAATCAAATAAGAAAAAAGCCAAATTGTAAAACAAGGACATATTAAAATGTCTTAATAACTACAATGTGCCGGAATATTACCAAGTAGATTCCGGGCCGGCCAGGCTAATTAAACAACAATGTCTTTCTCAGCTGGGGCAGTCTCTGGGGTCCGCTGATCCTGCCCGCGGTCAGTTTTAAGTTATTTACTTAGAACCCCCCTTAGTTTTTCCCTGATATATTTTTTCCTCAATAAAGTTTAAGAAATTCAAAAATATCACTTCGTACTGCTCGAGTAAGGATTTCGAAGATCGCATCGCGAAAAGGAGTAGTGCTATTCACTGTAAGATGATTATCTCTTAACAATTTCATCTTCTTCTGTGAGATCGTTGTTAGTGTTTTTCAATTTTCTGAAAATTGTTTTTTTTTTCTTCTTGTCGGGTCAATTTCATGATTTTATGGTCTGTTGTGTAGTGGAGAAATTTAAAGAGTGAATTTTTATGTTTTATTTCGATGAATTATGTGGGGTTTTAGAGATGTAATTTAGGGTTATGGTAGATGGCTTGAGTTGACTACTTTTTTCAAAGCTTTAGAGAGGATAATGAGCTGAAATGGATTGTTAAACAGCTGGTCAAAGTACAAGGGTGGGTTGTTATTTATGAATTTGTAACATATGGAAATTTGGGGATGTGTTATTGTATACTCCAATACTACTGCAACAACAACTATGCCTCAATCTCAAACGAGATGGTGTTCAATATATGAATCCTCAAAATTCATTCCAATACTCAATTTCAAAGAAGTAGGCCAAAGGCTGATCAGCTTAAATTGGTCTTGAGCTGAAATGCATTATGTAATACCAGGGGTGACTTCACCAACTGGTTAAATCACTAGTCCTAATATATAAATTTAGCTCATTTTGAAACCTGTGGGGTTGTTAGTGTAGATAATCTTTAGATTGAAAATCCAGTATTGGAATGACATAGATATGTAGAATAGATTGAATATGGCTTCAGATAGGCAACCTCAACTAGTTCGGAAAAATCAGAAGTCACTGCTGAAGTATTAGTTTTAGAATAAACATACATTGAAAGTTTCTATATTTACACACACACACACACACACACGAAAAAAAAGGTTTTAAACTATATTTGATTGGTCTCTCAGTCTCAAAAGTCTAATAGAAAAAAGCCAAACTGCTGTGACCAGTGAGAGAGAGAAGAAGATTGGTGAAGTTTCATCTGGGAAAAAGGAGCTGTAACAGACGAGGAAGTAGGAGTTTCGTTCTACTGTTGAGGAAGAGGGAGTTTCACAGGTTTTGGGAAGATGGGGTTTGGGTGGGAAAGAAAGTGAAAAGGAAAAGCAAATAAAGAAAGAGAAATGACAAAAGGAACAAAAATAAAACATTTTTTTTTTGGGGGGAAGAGTGGGACTAGAAATTGGGAAAGAAAGTGAAAATGGAAATGAGAAATTAAAAAGGAAAGCAATAAAGTAAAAAGAAAGGGAAATAAAACGCATCGGTTGAAAAAGACAAATTGCTTGAGAGGAGATTTAATCCTGCACACAGGAGATTACAGAGCTGCTTCATCCGGCTTATTAACCAATGTACACACTGACTTGGGTGCTCCCTTTGCCTCTAGCAACTAATAGATCCTGAGTAAAAAACAATGGGTGCTGGAGCAACCGCATAGATCCATGTGGGTCCACCCCTGTAAAGTTGAATACTTTGATGGTTAAGACAATTTTAATAAATGACGAGTTATCTACGGTATAGGAGGATTAGTTGGTCTGGGAATTGCTATAAATGTGACAAAAGGTATGCGGTGATAATGTTTATTACATGGATCAGGGAAAACTGGAGCAATATAAAGAGGACAAATCATTTTCCTTTTATGTGTATTATATTTCAGAAAGTAATGCTCTATTTTTGTTTGCTGATTTTTAAAATCCTCTTGTAACACTTTTTAAGTCTTTGTTTTATGACTGCTTCATTATTTTATGTAGATAAATGAAATGTATCAGCCCAAAGGCGTTCCAGGTTCAAGCTTAGCCCACAACAATGCAGCAGTGCATAGTCAGTCATTAGACTGTGATGACGGCTCAATGGATCCGACCAGTGGAGGCAATAACATCAACAATCCTAGTCTTGCTTCAAAGCAACGTCTGCGTTGGACCAATGAGCTTCATGAACGATTTGTTNGAACTTTGGTAAACCTGCAAGCTGCCGTAAGTTTCATTTAGTATGTTTATATGATCTATGATATTCCATCCAATGTTATCAAAGGCGAAAAACACAAAAAAACTTAAGGTTTGTTGAGCGCAAAGTGCAAATAAAGCGTGGACTTTAAAGAAGAAAGACGCAAATAGAGAAAAACTACAACTATGTATGTGTAGTCCAAGACTAATATCTATAAGCATGAATATCGAATATATTGACAAAGAAATTGAAGAGAACTTACGATAAAGTGAAATATCAATTAGATAGTTCCGCGTCTTCAGGATTACACTTCTTGGCAAGGAAAAGTATGCCTTAGAGCCTTGATGACAATACTGAAGCGCCCGTTAAGTGAAGGAAGCGCTCAACATGATTTGAGCCTCGTTTTAGGGCTTAAGGGCTTTGTAAGCGCACCTTTGATAACACTGATTCCATCAGTTAATCATTAAATTATCTAGATTTGGCAACTAATACACCTTCCTAATTAATATTACACTTTTTCAATTTTGAATGTCCCAAAATGTCTGATAATTTAACTAAAAGTAACTACTTAACTACTTCAAGCTTCTAAAATTCATATTTACTGAAGTAAATCAATATTAAGCTTTAATGCGACTATTTCTCTTTCAAACTAATTTTTCTACTGTTACATAACATTTATTTCATTGTAAACTACTACTAAGTCCACCTATCTTATCCTCCATGCCAGTCAAAAGATGTTACATTAAAGGACGGAAGGAGTAATAATTCTTTGAGGTGTGAACTGAAGTATCCAGTATCCTTGTGTTTACTGATTTATTATACTCTTCTGAGATTCTTTTCTCTGGTTCAGGAGCTACACCGAAAGGCGTTCTTAGAGTCATGGGTGTACAAGGCCTAACCATTTACCACGTAAAAAGCCATTTACAGGTATCATTCACCATATTTTATTTGTACAACTTATCCTACGGAGATGTGTGCTTGAATTATTCTTTATGGTAACTGACTTTCGTTTATTTTTCTGTTGGCACAGAAATATCGACTTGCTAAATATCTTCCAGATTCCTCATCTGATGGTACGCTGTGATAGAATTCAAAATCTTCATGGTTGTGTACTCCTTATATTTTGAACCTAACTTGATTAATTGAGGATGTGATGAAGTTGGTTCTACTCCAGTTATGCCAACACACTAATGTGCTTTTGTCTTGTGATTGCAAGGGAAAAAACCTGATAAGAAAGAATCGAGGGATATGCTATCAAGTTTGGATGGTTCATCGTGAGTAGATTTTCCCTTGTTGCTTGTGTAGAATTCTTCTGAAAGCATGAACTTGGAATGTATCTACACTAGTCTTGTATTCTAAAATGACCACATAGTCAGTCCTTGTTTTTTCTCAAAAACTAAGTGATTTGTATATTTAAGGATCTTGAATATTTGACCCGAGAGAGAATTGCTTGTTAACAGAGGAGTGGAAATCACTACGGCTCTAAAGCTGCAGATGGAGGTGCAAAAGCGACTGCACGAGCAACTGGAGGTATGCTCTTTTAATGCTTTTTGTGTAATTGGTATGGATATAGTCCTTAGGGAGCATTTTATTGACAGGTAAAGCCGTAAAGGAATGTGGAGAAGAACCTATTTTTGCTGCTTCTGTAGCAGGAGTGTTCCTTCTCTTTTCCTAAGCAAAATAATAAGCAAATGCTAACCGTTGGCTTCATAATTTTTGTTGTAACCTTTTGTTTTCAATATGCCGCTTCAACAGAGACCTGCAAGAATATCTTTTGCTCATTTACTTACCTTGTCTCAAGAAAATTAAAATGTATCTGAGTATGTTGAGTCTCTTAAAAATCTGGGTTTATATCCAACCTATCAAAAAACAATGTGGGCTTATATCTGTGCGAGTCATGAGAGGGAGCAACTGTACAAGGGTGATATGCGCTAATCTTTGCATTGTATATGAAATGGTATAATGTACCGAAAATATACCAGCTTTCCTTTGTTTTCTAGTGGTGGAGGTCCTAATCCTTCTGTTATGTCAAGGGTTAAAAGCTATTGTGAGTGTGAGAATGCACGGGAGAAAATTATATTATTAATAAAGATACAATGACCTCTAGATATAATTCATATTCTACTCCTACTACATATGAGATTAGGACATATTCTACTCCTACCACATATGGGACTATGATTATTTACACATAACTATCTAACACTCCCCCTTAAGTCGGTGCATACAAATCATATGTACCGAGCTTGTTACGTATGTAACTAATACGAGGACCAGTAAGGGGACTTGGTGAAAATATGTGCAAGTTGATCATTCTGACATACAAGGCCACTAGACTGCCGAAAATTTTTGAAAATAGTGAGACTAAGCCGAATTCCACACTACAGAATAGGTTTTAAAACACCACCAGAAAACAGAAACTTTCCACGCAGCAAAATCACTGTTCACGCGCGAAAAGTGCACTGTTCACTCCAGAAAAAATAAAAGTTGTCAGAATTTGATGTAGTTTATATGGGTAGGCTTGGAATCACTGGACAAGTAAGTTGTCCTGAAGAAGTTTTGTTAAAAAGTGACTGGATTGGCTCACATGCACTGGAAAAGTTACTATAGCTCGTCGGAATCCTAGTTCTGGCGGCGCGTGAGGTTTTTTTTTTGGAGCAATTAACTGTTTCCGAACAACATGGTAGTGTTGGTTTTCGCACAACACTTATCGATGAGGAGATAACTTAAATCAATCTTGAGTCGTCAACCGGAAAGAGGCACGGTGACTGACTTTTCTGTTTCGATGGGACTGGAATTTTTGGGGTTTGGTCGCACAAGGGTTTCTGATCTGATGGTGATATTGGTATATGCACAGTATCACTGTAGCAGTGATGAACCTTGGGAACAAGAAGAATTTGACGGAAAATTGCTTGGCGACGAGATCATGTGAGAATGCACGGGAGAAAATTATATTATTGATAAAGATACGATGACCTCTATATATAATACATATTTTACTCCTACTACATATGGGACTAGGACATTCTACTCGTACTATATATGGGACTAGGACTATTTACACATAACTATCTAACCATGAGCACGAGGAATAACACAAAAATTGTAGTAGAAAGGTTTTTTTTGGGGGGCAATAGGTTGACATTATTCTATATTAGAAGATCAAAATTCCCATATCTATGACCATTTTTGAGCATATTGTTAGGACATGCTCATGGACACGAGTTCACGGCTACCAAACAAAGTGGCCATATATATAGGCTAACTTAATTCTGCCTTTGTGAAATCAGTCGAAATTCACTTGGTATAATTAATTCCGTTTCTACTTTACTTCCCCGAGTTTGGAAAGCATGCTTTCCTGCATGACAGACTACTGTTAATCAAGTCCTGCAAAAGTTTCAGGCTTGTGAAAGTGGTAACAACCCCCTTTTTCCTGCTTCTTAACAGGTCCAGAAACAGCTACAACTTAGAATAGAAGCCCAAGGGAAGTATTTGAAGAAGATAATCGAAGAGCAACAGCGGCTCAGTGGAGTTCTTTCAGAAGTTCCTGGTTCTGGGGTCGCTGCTCCTCCAACTGGTGACAATGGCCCAGAATCTGATAATAGGAGTGATCCAGGGACTCCTGCACCAACATCTGAGTCCCCTAATGTTGAGAAGCATGTAAAAGCACATGCCCCAACCAAGAGCCTTTCTGTGGACGAATCATTCTCCTTGCAGCATGAGCCTCTCACTCCAGATTCTGATTGCCCAGAGTCGTCGCCATTGGAGAGCCCTAATGGCGAGAGGTCATCGAAGAAACGCAGAGTGGGCACAAATGCAGCCTTTGCAAAAGACGATGTGGCACTTACACATCAGATATTGGAATCAAGCTTGAGCCCACGATACCAGCAACCACCTTCAGTTTTTATGACGGGGGACCAATTTAATCGTACATCAGGATTATCTCTTGGCATTGAGGATCACCAAGTTTCTGGTAACAACATGTAGTTATTCGGTACCCAGCACACTGCTTGTGCAACATGACTCCATTTCGTGTAGTTTGTGTAATCTCTGATAAGATATGTTCTCATTTGGTCACAGATACTGCATGGTTTTCTAATGTAGTTCGTTTAATTCTCTATTTAATCTTCAGGGTTCTAACTATTGCTTTATGATATAGGGGCAGTTCTAATTTATAGCTAGACTGAGAGTTCTGCATTCTTCTCTGAATAGTTTGGACTTGAGGCATAGTATTTAGTATGTTTTAACTTTTACGTATTGAAAGTTGGCCTTCAGAGCTTAGGTCCTTAGTACTGGACCACACATTAGCTTCTATCACAATTCACAGTTTGTATGCAACACCTCAACGTTGCAGCTCTCTTTGTGACTGAACCTGCCGACTACTGTGGGGTAGTGCTGATATTTGGTGTAAATTCCACATGTTTTTTTTTCTTTTTTCTGGGTGTGTTTAATGTTTGTGTCATCTCTTTGTAACTCTGCCAATGTGAGCTTCACAAACAATAGTCGGTCTCAAGTAGACCTGTCAAATGGGCTGGGTCGACCCATGAACCGGCCACATAACCCATTAAAATTGACCTTTTAACCAGCCCATGACCCAAGAAACTCTAACCAGACCAACCCATTAATTTAAGGGCCCTGGGCTGGGCTATAATATTTTGACCCACTGAACCGGACCGGAACCGGTAGCTGACCCACAGGTCAACCGGCCCGGACCAGCTCACATATATACTCAGACAAGTGGTAAAAAATTGAATCTAAACATTGAAGAAAGAATATAGTACCAGACACTATGAGACGTCTTATCGAAATAGTCGAATTTCATATGGTTTAGACTATTAGTTATAGAAATAGTCGAATTCCATATGTTTCTCAAGTCTTAAGGTTAATAAAGTATGATTTTTCTTTCATTTTTATTCTAACGGGGCTTCAAGGACATGTAGTAATTTCAAATTCGTATATATATATGAAGTTTGAAATTTTTATCATTTATTAGTTTTAACTTTTTTTTAATTAAATTGGATTCGGCCCATTAGGGCCCGGGTTAAGGGGTTGCGGGTCCGGGTTGGGTCAATATGTTTTGATTAATGGGTCAAATCCGGGCTGACCCCTATAATAAAGTGAACTGGCCCGGCCCGGCTAAGGACCCACGGGCCAAAAGGATTCAGGTCTGGGCCGGGTCGACCCCATTTAACATGTCTAGTCTCAATTTCGGAGAAAGGAGGAGGATTACGGTAGCATAGAAGTAGTCTAACTATGACGAAAGGCTTCACTCAGTATATAAGATGATTAAAATTTTTTAGCTCAGTAAAAGCTTAATTAGTCAAGGAATGGCAAATTCCATGACACATTAGAGATCACCTGAGGAGCATAACCTCAGGCCTTATTACATAGTACATATTTAAGTAGCTAGTCGCCTTCCAACTGAGAATCAACAGACAACAGCTAATAATCAGTTCCAGTACATATAAGATCACCATTCTCTTTGAAAAGTTTGCAATTTTCAGGTAAAGTACAACAGTTGTCGCAATAGGATTCAATTAATTTGTGTCGTCCATGGCGAGTTGGGCAAACCATGTAAGCTGCATCGCTAATGCAATCCCGAGGACAAGACTTCTCCTCCTCCGCCGCAGTTGCCATTTTGCTTCCTAGCACATGTGTTCCTACATTGCACCCATATTAACCGGAGGCGGATCTAAGATTTAAACTTTATGGGTTCAATATTTAAGGTTTTTAATTAGCATTGAACCCATTATATTTTTTAAGTTATGGATTCATATTTACTATTTTTTGCAAATTTAATGAACATTTATATATAAATTATACTTCGGATCGAAAGTTATGAGTTCAATTGAACCTGTCACTTTAACACTACACCCGCCATTGATGTTAACAGTTAAACTTTGGTACATTGACTATGTAAATTTTTCAAATTCGTAATTTGCAACAACAGATAACCTGTCTATAGTAAACCTAAATTATATCTTAGAAAATAACATGTTATAACCAGTTAAATATTACTCTCTTCTTATGCGATGAAAGAGGTATCATCACAATATTATTGCAAGAAAAGGGTATATTTTCTCTACATGCTATAAAATTTACACTCTTCTTACAAAATGTTTCTCTCTTTTGTTTTGAATATCCGAAATAACTAACATTTGCAGGGAAAGCTTAGAACACAATGACTTTGCCAGAAAGTTTAAGCTAGTTGAACAAAATCAGAAAGAAATATATGATACGTCTTTCAATATTGTAGTTTAAGAATTACTGAAATCACTCACCAAACAGGAGGAGGAGAGCAAGGAAACCAACTTTGTGAATAGCCATGCCTTGTCGTGAGTTATTACTTTGTGCATAGAGGATATTACACTATCAGCCTGTTTATAGCAGATGAATGATCTAAAGAGGGAAAAATAGAAACTCATGAACATGTTATGACTTTATTTCATTCCAAAAATGTAGATATTTCTAATTATCATTTTTATCACGTTACTGATTAAGGTTTGCCAGTAATTACCTTAGTGATCTGATTTTGTAAATATTTTTACACTATCACTGCATAAGACTTGAACTTTTAATAGACCACATGCTTTATAAGTTGTAGCAGTGTGTGATATACTGTAACAGTCTGTGATCTTTTACATTAATAAATTAAAATCCGCAGCTGCAAATCAACATTACAATTCAGAAAAAAGGGGAAATTCACAAGTTCATAAGTATGCAGTGAGCAAGTACTCATCGTCCAATTGGCATCTCTATTTGTAATTTGATAAATCAAATTTAGTTTAGTAAATCTTATGAGGAAGAGCTCTTTGTGAGGTTTTAAAAATTGAAATTTTGAAACTTGCTGATTTAAGTGAAAGACCACCAAATTTGGCAGCGCATACTGTGACTGTCTGTCTTTCGGAAAAAGCCTCTCTGCCTTCCAGAATAAGCGTAAGACTGCGTACATTTCACCATCCTCAAATCCCCACTCAGTGGGAATTCAATGGATTTAGTTATTGTTGTTGCATAATGTGAATGTCTGACCTCCATATGTATTGGGTCTCCTTTGTAATGAGAAGTGTATTGACTCAAGGAATTAGAGAGATTGCAAAAGCAAAAGTTTGAAAGACATCGAAAGCCTGTAATAATTCCGCCACAGTATAACATAGGACTGAAACAGTACTCTTAATTGATTGTGATTCTTAAAGTGGTGTTTCCACTCAAAATTATTACAGCAATCTGGAAATGCACAGTGACCTAACAATATCCACACATATAAGAATGTTTATACAACGAGTGTAATCTAACCTGCTGTAACTGTTACCGGATTTATTTTCCATGTTACATTGTTACTAAATATTAATAGCACTTAATATGAGCAGTGATAGTAGACTATAATTATGCAATTTAGATACTATTTACACTCATATTTGGCCGCATTTGTCAATGTTTGAATGTAAAAAGATACCAAAATGCTCTAATTAAGAGTTTTATGTTTTGCAGGAGCCACTCCGAGCTATGAGGAAGCTAAAGAGTGTTTTGGAGTCAAATGGAGCGTAAAGGAGAAAGAAAAGCAAGTGGGAAAGTCCCCTCTAGGAGCGTGGCCGCGAATTGACCGCGCATTGGGCCACGCACTGAGGCAGAATACTGGGCGAAATCCGCGGTCGGGTCCGCGGCCGCGGACGAGCCGACGGAAGCCAATAACCCAGGGTCGATTATGTAATTTCTAAGGCGACTAACCTAAACCTATATGAAGCCTAATTTGCCCAGAAGAGAAGGGGAGCTGTTTTTAGAGAGATTTTGAAGGCAAGAACACGGGAGAAAGACATAATTTCCTTAGAGTTTTCATCTTCTACTTTTTAATTCCATTGTTGATTATGACTTTCTATAGTGAATTATTATATATTAGTATGAGTAGCTAAACCCATCATCTAGGGTTGATGAAACCAATTATTGGATGAAATCTTGACTTCGTTTTGATATAATTGAGCCGTTTTTACTCTATGGTTGTTCAATTACGTGTTGTCTTGTGATTAATTGAAAGGGCCCTTGATTAATCGTGTCTAGTTATCTCGTGTTGCTTGAGAAAGAACACTTGGTTAGATTGTTGGTGAACAACACTACTTTCGGGTAAGTTAAGAGATTAATTACTTGAATTTAAAAGCAGTGTTAGAGATAACGAAGCTTTGGTGGGATAATTCTGAGTTGCATAAATTGGTAACTATAGTAGTTCGAGAGAATGCTTCTAGTAAATTATAGTAATTGATCGAGAGATAATTGCGTTAGCCCAGAACTCATATTGCTTATAGAGTGTTATGGCGAGATTATAGTTAACGTGTCAGGAATTAATCCGACAATTGGAGAAATCAATAACTCTAGACCATCTTACCATTAAATTCAACTCCGTTGTTGATTATTGCTAGTTTTATTATCATTTTTCCTTAGTTAACTAACTTTTACTCATTATCCATTAAAAAATCTTGCATTCGGGAATTGTTTGAGATTATCATTAGCAGTGTTAAAAGTTGTAGTAAATAGGTTAGTTCCTTGTGGGATTCGACTCTGGACTTGAAACGAATTATATTTGCAGCGACCGCTTAGTCCCTTTTATAAGGCATAGTTGGGCGTGATCAAACTTTGGCACTATTGCGGGGGAACTAACAGTGTTATTTATTGCAACTTGGAAGAATTGCTAGGATTATTAGTTTAGATCAATTTTATGTGGTGTTAAAAATATTTCCATTGAAATTCTCACGTTTGAACTCTTCTGTGACTCAGGTGTATGCCTAGAAGCTCCTTGAGAACCGGTGAACTCTTTGAAGGACTCTTAGATCCCGAGAAAGCATTCCGGACATTGAATCGGGCTAACAAGAAGGGCAAACAGCTAAAACAAAACGAACAATTCGAAATTGAAATGGGTGACGTAGACAACGTCAACGGGAACAACAGGAATGATCGAGATGACCCAAACGTCAGAGTGGTAGCACCTCTTGTGCCGGAAGCTGCTCTTTATGATTGGGCACAACCAGCTGTTGATAACCTGGCCACAGCAATTGCGGTTCCTTAGATACAAGCGGAGACATTCTAGATTACCAACAACATGCTACACCGTTGCAGAATAAAAGGCTGTTCTCCGGGCCATACATCGAAAACCCACAACAACATCTGAAGAACTTTCTATTAATTTATG